GAGAGACAGAAAGAGAGAAATCACCCCCCAGGGGGGATGGCCACGCCGCAACCCTGTCTCCTCTATTATCCTCTCGGGATCTTGGGCACGTATGCAAATGCACCTGGTTTGAGTTTAAGTCACCAGGACTCGAACCGTGGTCGACTACATGGGAGTCCAGCGACATAGCCATTACGCTAACTGCTGGTCCCTGGAAAGTAATTTTGAAAGATACCAAAGTGGATTCATACCTCACACACAATTCTTTGAGAATAAACTCCAAGTGGGCTCAAACAAGGTGCACTGCTTGGGAGGCTAAAACATGGGAGGCCTGGGTTTAGTTCCTGGGCCAACCTGCACATGCCAGGCACCGTTATGCAGGCCGCAGTCCTAGTTAACTGGGAGGGTGAGGCAGAAACACCATGACAGACTGAGATACTGAGTCCTTGTCAAAATGCCCATCTTTGTCTATCTTCTTTTCCTTCTTTCTCCCACTTTTTCTCTCACTAAAAAGAAAAAGAATAAAAAAGATCAGATATGTAAATGTGAAAAAATAAATCATATACACGCTAGAAGAAAACACAGATCTATATTATATATGGGAAAAATGTAGTAATAAAAAATATTTTAAAATTAAGCTAAATTAGGGACTGGCAGGTGGCGTGGTGATTAAGGAGCTGGATTCCCACATAGCTGACCATGGTTTAAATCCCAGACCTGGCGGCTTGCTTTCTCAATTTCCCTTTCTCTCTCTCTGTCTCTGTCTGTCAAATTAAAAAATAATAAATTAAATAAAAATAAAATAATTCTTAAAAAAAGAAAAAAATCTAAGCCAAACTAGATAAACTATGGTTCAAAATTCAGGTGCATAAAAGATTAGTAAATTCAGCCACATTTTAAAATGTTTTGCGTGACAAAAACACCATAAGCAGTATCAAAAGACAAATGACAAGTGGGGAGAACGATTTGCAATAAATAGCACAGTTAAAGGGTTTACTTTCTCAAATAGAAAAATTAGAAAAAAATGGCAAAAGACATAAGCAGTGTACACACACACACACACACACACACACACACATGCGTGCATGCATGTGTGCGTTATCCAGATGGCTCTTAAGCTTAGGGAGCGATGCTTGGCTTTCTTCATAACAAGCAAAGCACCACTGAGAGCTCGTTTCTTATCTGCGTGAGTGGCAGACATTCAAAGGTTCGATGAACCCTGGTGGTGAACTTCAGGAATATCTCTTGGATCATGCTGGTGGGAGGGCAGATCAGCCCAAATCCCAGGGAGGGGGATTTGTCAATATCAAAAAAAAAAAAACACAAAAAACCAAAACCGACATGTGTATTTACTGCTTGACTCAGCAAGACTTCTAGGAATTTACAGGAAAGATCGCCACAGTTTCAGATCAGCTATGCTCAGTTATTCACTGCGGCGTTATTTGTGATGGCAAAATCTTAGGAACAACCTAAATACCCATGGAAACGGACTGAATTAATTATGGTATTATAATCACTCAATAGAATCTAATGTAGTAATTAAAAAAAAAATAATAATAGAGGAAAGTGTCCACGTAGTGGCATGCAGTGATTTCCAGGGATATTGTTAAGTAAAAAACCCGATTACAAACCAAACCAATGAAACAAACAAAACCCCAAGGTATTAAAAAATGCACACAGCATTCTCTCTTTTATGTAAGAAAGAAAGGGAAATATTTGCTTCTTTTTGTGAAAAGAAATAGCATAAATCATAAGCTAATGGAAATGATTAGTTGAGGTGTGTGTGTGTACGTGGGTCCAGTGGATTAAGATGGAATTGAGAGGTCTTTGAATTTACGTTTTATATAGGTTTGAAGTCTGAACCATGTGAATGTACATATTTGACCAGTGGCAGTGGTGCAGTGGTAACGCAATGATCTGAGATGTGGAGGTTGCTCAGGAAGGTTCCAGGTTCACACCCGGAGGCCTCCCTGAGCAAGCCAGCCGAGTGCATGTGTGTGCCCATGATCTGGCCTGGCTGAGGCTGGGCCGGATCACAGTGTGAAGACCCTGTTGGGAGTGCTATCTCTCTCTCATAGAAGAAAAAGTACACGTAAAATAAGTGTATATATTTCAAAAATAAAATTAAATTAAAAAGGAAAGGCTTGTCTCATAGCTCAGGTGTTAAAGGATCTGATTCCACGTGGCTGACCATGGTTCAAGTCCTGGCCGTGGTGGCTTGAAAAACTTACCAGGCATATGTGTATTGTGTGTCCAAAATCTGAAGAGGATGGAAAAATGGAAGTGGGCGGGATTGTGGAGTGACTATATCCTGTTGGGATGTGTTTTTTTTTCCTTCTCTCTCTGGTGGGTACATGTGCCCTCTGGCTTATAAACAAACAACAAACAAAAAGAATATTTGAAAAAACCCATAGAATTAAGTATAGGTAGTTGAATCTATCCATATGTCAAATTGTTAGCATAATCGTAAAGAAAAAGGAATTCATTCAAGTAACTTGCTCACCATATTCTGACTGCACCCCCAGTGGATATATTCTAAGGCCGTGGTATTTCATAAAGTAGCCACTAGCCACATGCGGCAATGTGTTTACATTTTTAAATAAGCTAAAATGAAATTAAACTTAAATTAGAAATTCACTTTATACCAGCGACACTTTAAGGTACATGTGGCTAGCAGGTGACCAATGGCTACTGCGTTGGCTGGCACAGATGTAAACTGTTGCCATTCATGCTGGAAGTTCTTCCAGACATCACTATTCCGGGGACAAAAAAAAAAATTGCAGGTTACTCTTGATTTGTACTTAGTAGGATTGTGATGAGAAGTGATGTAGTATGCAGTTCTGAAGCTTTTTTTTTTTTTTTTTTTTGGAGGGGTTTTTGCTAGGGTGTGTGCGCTCACCAGAAAGACAAAGACAGAGAGATAGAAAGCGAGAAATCACCCCAATCCCTTCTCCTCCATTCTCCTCTCGGGATCTTGGGCACACACGCACACATGCCTGGCATGAGTTTAAGCCACCGGGTCTGATACTCGAACCGCGGTCAACTACATGGGAGTCCAGCGACATAGCCATTACGCTAACTGCTGGTCCCCTGAAGCTTTTTTAAATATTGAAAAACAGTACAGATAAATAAACACACTGATGTTACTGGGAAGTAAATTCTTACCTGAAGGAGAAAGGAAGTACAAATATAGAAAGGAGAGGATGAGGAAAATCCTGTAGAGTTCAATCTTTATTTTTTATTATTAAAAAAAAAATACTGGGACCAGCAGTTAGTGTAATGACTATGTTGCTGGACTCCCATATAGTCAACCATAGTTTGAGTCCTGGACCCGGTGGCTTAAACTCATGCTGGGCGCGTGTGCATGCGTGCCCAATATCCTAAGGGGAGAATGGAGGAGAAGGGATTGGAGGTGATTTCTCGCTCTCTGTCTCCGTCTCTCTCTGTCTTTCTGGTGAGCGCACATGCCCTATAGCGAAAACCTCTTAAAAAAATACTACAAATTACCAAAGGGCACTTATGTGCACCAGAGACAGAGAGAAAGAGAGAAGGAGAAAGCACCCCCTAGTGGGATGTGGTCACACCACAATCCCATCTCTATTTCTCCATTCTGTTGGGACTTTAGGCACAAACACACACATACCTAGCATGTTTCTCGAGCTGCCAGGGCTGGGATTTGAACCATGCAGCTGGCTTTGTAGGACCCAGCTCATCTAACCACTAGGCATGGAACCAGCCCAGAGTTTGATTTTAATAGGAACTATCAGTATCTACTCTCCCTTCCTTTCTTTTCTTTCCTTCCTTCCTTTCTTCCTTCCTATTATTAGAGGGCATGGTGCTCACCAGAGAGAGAGAGAAAAAAACAAACAAACAAACAAAACACTCTTCATTGGACCTTGGAGAAGAAATCCCTGTTCTCTTTCTCTATCCTGCTGAGATTTTGGCCATGTACTGGGTGTGTTTCCCAAGCTGCCAGGGACAGGATTTGAACTGTGCTTGGCCATGAAGGACCCAGCTCCCTTAACCATAGGCTACAGGGCCAATCTAGTGTGGAAGGAGCAATGGAGTTAGATGATCACTGTTTTGCAACCCCAATATAATAACCAATGCAGGCAATGAGCATACATGGGTGCTGAATCCATTGGTGAAAGTTTATTGGGGAACAGGGTGCCACTCTGTCTCAATGTGTGGAAATGATACAAGACCAGCTATGTAGGACTTGCCACAATGGTTAACCTGAGTCTAATCATGAAGAAACAATCAGGTAAATGTAGTTATGGGACATCTACCAAGTACTGGCCTTGACTGTTTAAAAATCACATAAACATCCAAAAGTTGCTGGAATCTGTTCTAGATGAAAGGAGAATAAAAAGACGTGATAACCAAATGTAACACACGACCCTTGATCCAATCCTGGATAAGAAAAAACAAAACTATAAAGGATATTTTTGGAACAAGAGTTAAATTTCCTTTTTTTTTTAATTTTTAATTTTGATTGTTTTACACTTTTTTTTTTTTTTGAGAGGTTTTTGCTATAGGGTGCGTGCGCTCTCCAGAAAGACAGAGAGAGACAGAGAGACAGAAAGCGAGAAATCACCCCCCCAGGGGAGATGGCCACACCACAATTCCTCCTTCTCCATTTTACTCTCGGAATCTTGGGCATGCACGCACATGCACCTGGTGTGAGTTTAAGCCACTGAGTCTGGGACTCGAACCGTGGTCGACTACATGGGAGTCCAGCGACATAGCCATTACGCTAAGTGCTGGTCCCTAGTTTGATAGTTCCATATCAGGGGTGGAAATGAAGGTTTGTTCTTTGGGTTTTCCCTTCCCTAATCTGGGTCCTAATTATCATTTGGGGGAAAAAGGAGAGAGTGAGGTGTGAGTGAGTGGGGAGCTGAGGCTGACACCAGAGTGACTGCCGGGGGTAGGTGGGGCCTAGAGCCAGGACTTGGGGCTGGAGGGGTGTCCCAGGTCTCAGGGGAAGTGTCCAGCCTCACCTGTCCCATCCCTACCTCTAGGCCCACGAGCGGCTGGAGGAGACGAAGCTGGAGGCCGTCCGAGACAACAACCTGGAGCTGGTGCAGGAGATCCTGCGGGACCTGGCGCAGCTGGCTGAGCAGAGCAGCACCGCCGCGGAGCTGGCTCGCATCCTCCAGGAGCCCCACTTCCAGGTGCCCAGCTGCTGGGGCTGGTGGGGGAAGCAGACGGCTGGGGGGTGGGTAGGCGGCAGGATGCTGGAGCTGAGATGGGAAGAGGGACCGCGGGACACTGTCCCACGGTCCCTCTTCCCATCATCTCCCAGTCCCTCCTGGAGACACATGACTCTGTGGCCTCAAAGACCTATGAGACACCACCCCCCAGCCCAGGCCTGGACCCCACATTCAGCAACCAGCCCGTACCTCCTGACGCAGTGCGCATGGTGGGCATTCGCAAGACGGCTGGGGAGCATCTGGTGAGGCTGCTGGACAGGGTCGCAGTTGGGGCCTGGAGGGGGGCGGGAGATTGAGAGTAACCAGTGGGAGAAAATGGTCAGGAGAGGGCCGAAGATAAGGATGAGGTTGTCAGCTTTGCCCAGAAGCCTCTGCAGACCCAGGGGACCACAGACATCGCACCCTACCGGTGTCAGGGCCTCTCCTGTGGGCACACTCCCCCACATCACTGCCTCCAATGAGTAATGAACTGGGGCAGGAAGTTGGCAGGGGACGTTGTTGGGGGGATAGCAAAGGAGGGGCTACTGGGGGGCACTGTGGCATTATACTACTTGCCCCCTTCCCCCAGGGCGTGACGTTCCGTGTGGAGGGTGGCGAGTTGGTGATCGCGCGCATTCTGCATGGGGGCATGGTGGCCCAGCAGGGCCTGCTGCACGTGGGCGACATCATCAAGGAAGTGAACGGGCAGCCAGTGGGCAGCGACCCCCGCGCGCTGCAGGAGCTCTTACGCAGTGCCAGCGGCAGCGTCATCCTCAAGATCCTGCCCAGCTACCAGGAGCCTCATCTGCCTCGTCAGGTGGGTCCCTCTGCCTAGCCCTCCACCCAGCGTAAGGCCCAAGCAATGACTGAGCCTCTCAGCTGTTGGGGTTGCAGATCTCATGCAACCTCTCCTCCACTGCTGTAGGCGAGACAGGGAGCGGGGAGCTGACCACACCAGTACTGGCCTCTGCATGTGGTACACGTGTATGCGTGTGCACATTTGCCCACACTGTGCTTAGGTACTCGTGCATGTGCAGGAGACCTGCAGGCATTCAGGACCTGGGGAGCCTGGGCGTACAAGTGAGCACCTCCATTGTGTGCAGCGGTCTTGGCATCCGTGTGCACACGCGCATGTGCAGGGTGGGTTGTCACGTGGACAGCTGCCTCCTGGCTGGCGAATTGTGGAGGTCTGGCTTCTCTGCTCATCCCTCCGGATAAATCTCTAACCCTCTCCCAGAGCCCTGTCCTCCAAGGGGAAGGGTGGAAGGAGGGATCTTGGTTAGGTGTCAGGGGCCTGCTCCCTACTGGCTGAGTCACCTACAGTCCCGAGCGCTGCCTTAGGCCTGAGCGCTTTCCCATCCCTCAGTCTGAGTCCCTGAGTTTCAGACAGGAAGATAACTGCTACCAAGTAGGTGGGCTGGGAGGTCTGCAGGCATCGCTCCCCTAGGGGGCAGCACCAGGGCCCTTTGCATTTTGTGAGGGGAGCAGGCAGGGGGCGGACTGGGTCGGACTCGGTGACATCCAATCCCATCATCCTAACCTTAAGTCTTCCCTTGTCTCTTTCCTTGACCCATTACAATTTCCTGGCCCAGGTATTTGTGAAATGCCACTTTGACTATGACCCGGCCCGTGACAGCCTCATCCCCTGCAAGGAAGCAGGCCTGCGTTTCAACGCTGGGGACTTGCTCCAGATTGTAAACCAGGACGATGCCAACTGGTGGCAGGTGAGCCCTGGGTGCCCTGCAGTCCCTCCAGCTGTGGTGTGGTGGGAAGGGGAGGGTATGGGGAGGGGTCCTCTCACTCAGGTGGGATCTCTGCCTCACGGCCATTTCAGGCCTGCCATGTAGAAGGGGGCAGTGCTGGCCTCATCCCCAGCCAGCTGCTGGAGGAGAAGAGGAAAGCATTCGTCAAGCGGGACCTGGAGCTGACACCCACCTCAGGTAGGAGGTCCTTCGCATGCATGCCAACTCGGTCTGGGATCTGGCCTGGTCCTGCCTCACTTGCCCATTTCCCCGTGGCCAGGGACCCTGTGCGGCAGCCTTTCAGGAAAGAAAAAGAAGCGAATGATGTATTTGACCACCAAGAATGCAGGTGGGTATCAGAGCCCCCCACCCACACCACGCTCCTCTAACATGGCATGCCGCACGCCCCCACCACCACCTGGGACTTGTGAATCTGCTCTCCTGGCTCAGGTGCTGCCAGCCTCATCCCTGACAAGGGCCTGGGCCCTCCCTGGTTCCTGTCTGCCCCCTTGTCCTCGGCCTCCCTGGGAGCCCCACCCAGCCCCTGCTGTGCAGTCCATGAGCAGTGCCATCTCCCTGTGTCCAGAGTTTGACCGCCACGAGCTGCTCATTTACGAGGAGGTGGCCCGCATGCCCCCGTTCCGCCGGAAAACCCTGGTGCTGATTGGGGCCCAGGGCGTGGGCCGGCGCAGCCTGAAGAACAAGCTCATCATGTGGGATCCAGACCGCTACGGCACCACAGTGCCCTGTGAGTGGAACTGGGCCTGCTGGGTGGGGGACAGGGAGCAGGGGCTGCCCTGGGTGCTGGGGCTGGGTCGGCTGAAAGAGCATCTTCAGGTGCACCGAGTCAGGTGGTGCCTTTGGGCTTGAGCTGGGAGGTGTGCGCCCTCATTGGGGTGTGGGGGAACTGCAGGCCCAGGAGGGGTGAGGGAGATGTCCCTCTACTAGTGGCCGGGTGGGGTGGGCCTGCCTTCTCTTTCTTAGTTTGACTTGCAGAGTTAGCAAAATAGATACTCAGCTCTGTGAAACAGGGCTATGAGTTGTGTGTGATCTTGTGGAAGACAGATCTTTTTAGTGACAGGACTAAGCTGGTGACAGGAATGAAGTGCTGACCTCTGGCTTTCTCAGCTCTTGCTCTGGCTTTGGGCTGCACACTGCCCTTTCTGGGCCTCCACCTCCCATCTGTAGGTACTGAGTTGGACCTAGAGCTCCCTGAAGGTCTTCCTGGCATGAACATCTCATGCCTCTGTGTGTGGCAGTGGTGGGGGTGGGGAGAGAGCAGGTGTGTGCGAGGGCCGCAGTGCTGGCAAGTGAGGCAGGCTGTTCCCAGCACTGAAAACAGGAACACATAGAGCAGGGGCCTGCGGGTCTCAGGTGGTGTGGCCTTTCTGTACTCATGCAACTCCTCCTCCCCCAGACACATCCCGGCGGCCCAAGGACTCAGAGCGGGAAGGCCAGGGCTACAGCTTTGTGTCCCGCGGGGAGATGGAGGCCGACATCCGTGCTGGACGCTACCTGGAACATGGCGAATACGAGGGCAACCTGTATGGCACTCGCATCGACTCCATCCGGGGCGTGGTCGCCGCCGGCAAGGTGTGCGTGCTGGATGTCAACCCCCAGGTATCTTCCCGCTGGCCAGCACCCCGTCTGGTACTCTGCTGCCATGCACTTCCAGCTGCTTGTCTCTCAAGCACCCCTAGGTGCCTCCTTGACCATTGCTAGGGACCCAGCCTACCTCCAACCTCTCTTAGCCTCCCGGATCCCCTGCCCCCAGTCTCCTCCAGGTACCCCATCTGTACCACCTGCCAGCTGAATCCCAGCACCCCTTTCTCATCTACTCTCTGGTACCCAGTCAACCCAGACATCCTCCTTCCTGGTGTGTGGGGTACTCTCTGGCCCCCTCTCCTCCTGCAGGCAGTGAAGGTGCTGAGGACAGCTGAGTTTGTCCCTTATGTGGTGTTCATCGAGGCCCCTGACTTTGAGACCCTGCGGGCCATGAACCGGGCCGCCCTGGAGAGTGGAGTGTCCACTAAGCAGCTCACGGTGAGGAGTGTGGAGTGTGGGGGAAGGGGCTAGGGGCTATTTGGAGTGGAAGTGGGGGGCAGGCCAGGCTGATGAAGAGAAGGTGGGGTTGGGGTAGGGGGAGATGTCCACCCACGTTATCAATGAAGTAGGATTTGAGATCCCTGCTTTATAGGAATGAGGAAAGGGAGGTGAGAAAGGAAGTGAAGTGCCCCCAGTCTTACAGTGAGCCAGGAACATGGTTAGGCTGGGGTGCAGGAGCTTCTTCTGATGCTAGGCTCATTGTGTGGTCCACTCTGCAAGGACTGGGTGCTGGCCAAAGGGAGCTCCAGAGGGCCAGTGGAAGATTGGTGGGCCAGAGGTGGGCCAGGTGGGCTCAGGCTGCTTACAGCTGGGGGAGGCCGAAGGGAGCGAGGATGCCGGAGGCTGGCAGGCTGGCTAGAGGGATGAACTAACATCAGGGAGCACCTTGGGAGGGTCTCGAAGGCCTATGTTGCGGGACTCCAGGGCACTCGCTTATGCTGCTGCTTTCATCTAAAGCCTAACCTGTTCAAGAGCAGTAGTTCCCAGTCTTGACTACAAATTTTAATCTTCTGAGCATCTCTGAAAAACTTAAGCAAGCAAAACAAAAAGTTTTGGACTCCAGGACACCCCCTGCCATACCCTCCCTCCCTCCAATCATGCACCTTGCGCAGCATTCCTTAGGGTGTAGGATTTGTAGAGCTCTGAGCTCAGAGTTCCCTCCACTGGCCATGCCTGGTACTGCAGCACTCCGGCTCCAGGTCAGAGTGCTCTGGAGCAGTGGAGAGGCTGTCTGGGCTGGCTTCCTTCTGCTGATGTCCCCGAGAGAGCTCTGGACTCTCATCTGATCTGTGCACCCGGCACCCCATCCACACACCAGGCACCTCTTCTCTGGGAAAAATGCAGCCAGTTGGAGCGGCTGGGGATGCTCCTGGCCTCGGCTTCTTTAAGTCAGCTCTCAGGTTTCCTACCCCATCCCAGCCCAGCCAGCTTCTACTGGGTCAGGGCTGAGGGGTGCCTTGGGCACTAGTGGACTGCCCTGGTACCAGGTGTGCCCTGGTGACAGCCTCTCATGCTGCAAAGGCAAGGGGGCCAGTCATATGGGAGGGAGCACCAGCTTGGGAGTCAGGCAGACCCTGTTCAGCCACTGGTTGGCCGTGCGACTGTTTCATGCCTTAATTTTCTAATTCTATTTGCAGAGCCATAGTGAAGGTTATGTAGGTTGCAAGCATTGGGTGCTTTGTTCTTCTTTCCTGCCTTCCACCCATCCCTCTGCCCATGTTGTAGGGAGTGACCTTGGGACATGCAGGGAGTCCATACTGCTGTGGGTGGCTTCAGGGAGGGGGAGAGAACAGGCTGTAGGTCTGCTGTCAAGGTGGCTGAGCTATGGCACTGACTGGAGGGAGGTCCCCTTGTGCCCGGGCAGGAGGCGGACCTGAGGCGGACTGTGGAGGAGAGTAGCCGCATCCAGAGAGGCTACGGGCACTACTTTGACCTCAGCCTGGTCAACAGCAACCTGGAGAGGACCTTCCGCGAGCTCCAGGCCGCCATGGAGAAGCTGCGGACGGAGCCCCAGTGGGTGCCCGTCAGCTGGGTGTACTGAGCCCGTTCCCCCAGACCTTGGCTCCCTCTGGGTGGTGACCCAGAACCTGAATCCATCCCCTTCCCCATCCGTGACCCCCCCACCATGATTCTCCACCGGCATCCCTGGGTCTCCTTGGGTAACAGCTCCCAGCAGGCCCTAAGTCAGGCTTCAGCGCAGAGGCGTGCACTGCCAGGGAGGTGGGTGTTCATGGGGCCCCTGTGTGCCCAGGTGCTGCCTACTCCCGACGTCCATTGGCCACCAGCTCTCCCTCTCTGAGGGCCAGTCTGTACCCAGGAGTGTGTCAGAGCCACCTCTGTTGTACCCAGTCCAGGGCAGAGAAAAACTGCTGTGGGTCCATGTGGTCAGCCAGCACCCTGCCCACTGCCACCTCTTCTGGTCACCTTTTATCCCCTGGATGGTCACACCTATTCCATGCTGGGCTCCTTCCGCCTCCCCTTGTGACCGAGGAGCAGGCCTTGGGCTGTTTCCATGCGGCCAAGGGAGTGTGTGGCCCACCAGCAGCCAGGCAGGCGAGGTGGCGGTGCCAGCCTGGGCCATCTTGGAGACTGGAGGAGCCAAAGCATGGACCAGAGGCCGCAGCTCAGAAAGGGGCAAGGTCCCGGGAGCAGATGCTGCCCTGCCCCTCCCTCACTCACAGCTTCTCACTGCCGAAGTCTCTCCACAGACTTCCCTGAAGTGCCCCTCACAGGTCAGCCCTGCTCTCTGTAGGCCGAGGCTGGCAGGGGGTAGCGGCTCAGCCCAGGCAGGAGTGGGTGGGAGGGCGGAGCCCTGGGACCAGGAGCTGCTGCTATGGACAGAAAAGCTTGGATCTCCACGGCCCGTGGGGGATGCATCTGGGCTCCTGTCTGTGACCTTTAGCCCTTCTGGTCTTCTCCATGGCCAAGCCACAGCAGTCCCCTTGCATCAGGGTGGCTCAGGTTGGGGGCACCGCAGAGGACTGCAGAGGGAGCCATGGAGTTGGCCTGGAGAAGGACGGGTGCCTCTAAGAGCTGGTAACAGCACTCCAGGGGGCGCCATTCACCGCAGCCTGCCCAGCCTATGGTTTCCGGTGCTGTGGGCCCCGCCTGCTTTTCTGGTTCTGCGGTGTGTGTCAGGCTTGGTCTGGGGGAGATGAGGCCGAGGAGGCAATGGGTGGTTTTGTTTTGGAGATCACTCTTTGGGGTCCCTTTTTGTGGGTTTCCCATCAGCCCCTATTTCTTATAAGATCCTTGTCCCCAATTCCAGAGCCTCAATCCTCCCCAGGTGTCTTCCTTCACTCTCCTATTGTCCCCCTACCTAAATGCCACCCTCCAGTCCTCGGGGAGGGCAATTTTGTAAAATAGGAGAATCCCTTGTAAGAGAAGAATGCTGTTCTAGACCTCTGCAGGCACCTCATCGCCCGTCCTCTGTGATCCGTCCTGAGTGGGCCTGTCCTCACCGGGGACCACCAGGATGCCCCTCCCTCCGCAGCCCCTAGACCTCCCAGTGCTCTGTGTGATCTGTCTTCGCTGCAGTGTCAGCCAAAGCTGGCCCCTGAACCACTGTGTGCCCATTTCCTAGGGAAGGGGAGGGAGAATAAACAGAGTATTTATTACAAATGTTAGACATATATTTATTATATTAGGACTCGTTTGCGCTCACATAGGAGATGCAAATGAGACAATGAAGTCACGCCTGCTCCCGTCTCCTCTGCGTGCTCTGCACACACGCCGCAGGCCTCTTTGTATTGCCTTTCGCCTTTTGTCGTGTCCTTCTGTCCTCTCTTAAGCTCTCCCTTACACCAGCCTCACCCCAGCCTACGTGACTGGGGTGGGAGGTAAATGGCATGTTTTCTTGCTGACTCGAGGCCAGTGGGTCCGTTGCCAGTTCCCACCTGCCTTGGAGGACAGGGGAGTGGAGGCAGGGGAGGGGCTGTTCCAGCCACCCCTCCCCTGGGTTAACCTCTGAAGGCCCCCGGTCAGAAGACCGTCCTCTCTGATGTACCAGGGAGTCAGCACCTGGCCCTTTACGGATCTTCAGTGTTGATGCAGTTCTGGCACCTTCGCCTCTGGTGATGCCCAAGGGGCAGGGCTGGGCCCCTCCTCTCCTGTCTCCTCTCTGTGCCTCCTCTGAACACACACCTCCCTCCTCTGCCTGAGCCCTGCTCCATGGCCCTTCCAGGCACCCGTCAGGTGGGAGCAGAGGCTGTTGGAGTCCTGGGCTCACCCGGGCGGGGGCCAGGGCTGGGTTGGAACAGGTGTGTGTGCTCACCGCGTTAGCTCTGTGACTGTCTCCCTCCTCCCCTTGTGGCTCTTGTATTGGGCAACCTCGGGGAAACGAGGATCCTGCCCACTGTCCAGACCCTGTCCCAGCCCAGCTGCTCTCCCTTCCCCCTCCCTGAGCCAGCCTGTTCTCGAGTTTTCTCTCTGATTTTCTTTCTCTTCCTTTAATTAAATGTGAAAGCAAAAGCTTCTGGGCTCTGTTTGTCTTTGGTTGGGGTTGGGTGGGTGGCTGTGGGAGAGGGCGCGAGCCGGGATACACAGCCAAGATGATGTGAGAATGGACGTCGGAGTGCTCTGTGCCGTCTGTGCTTCCCTTGTCCTGCCCCCACCCCAGACCATGCTCCTTCTAAGTGCTTGTCCCCAGGAGTTTGTTAGCATTCAAGGGGGTTGGAGGACTCGGACCTCATGGGTGATCCACTCAGCCCACTGGAACCACGTGGCCTTCAGCACACACACGTGCTGCCTGTGGTTCATCTCTAAGTGTCACAGACTCTGCCCGTGCTAATGTTAGTGTTGGTTCCCGGTACTCAACTACAGGGCCACTGGTGACATCGAAATGTCAGAAGTATGTTTTTCAGGGTTAAGGGGTCAGCCTTCCATCCTACCTCAAATTTGTCAACCTAAAAGGTAAATTGAGGCAAAGAATATAAAGCAAAAGTTTATTCAGGCCACATTTGAGGACTGCCTTCTCAACAGACATGCGTAGTTGCCCCAAACATGCACCATGCCCTAGAATCCATTTCCAGCTCTTGGGCTCATGCGTCCAAGCCCTAGGAGTATTTTCAGGTCTACTGGGCACCCGAACTGCAGTCAGCTATGTGGCTTCCAGCATGGTGGTTTCGTTTGCTACCAATGTCCCCAAACAGGCTCAGCCTGTTTTTGTTTTTGTAAATTATTTTTCCCTCTTGGGACATTAGCATGTATCTATTGGGTCATCAGAAAAGCCAGGATGGTGGTATGGTGGTTAAGGTGTTGGACACTCCCACATGTCTGACCACGGTTCGAGTCTTGGACCTGTCAGCTTGCTTTCTCACTCTTTCTCTCTCTCTGGTTCTGGTCAAATTAAAATAAATGAATGAAAAAATAAAATAAAATAAATAATTAAAAAAAAAGTCAGGATGTATTTTTCTGTTTTTTTTTTTTAATGCAAAAATGCATCATGACTTTTCCAACAACCCAATAGTAGGGCAGAATGGATCCTTACCTTATTATAGCTGGAAAACAAGAAGGAAGTGAAGGGCTCTGTCCACTGTCGTGTGGGAAGTCACTGGCAGGGCTGGGACCAGTCCCTAAGACTCTTGGCTCCCAACTGGGGGCTTCCCCCCATGCTGCTGCCCACAGATGGAGAGGCTGACTAGATCCGGGGGGACTACATCTTGGTGAAGAAGGCAGCTTCACCACAGGAACATGGGCTAAGAAGGGGAACCACAGGGAGAATGTGGGATCTCCCAGGTTTGGTTCCTCTAGAGATCCCAGCACTCGAGGAGGCCGAGGACATCACGGGTCTACAGGTTACCCTGGAGTCCCAGAACCCCACCTACCTCCCACAGGGCTGGGTTTGGGGTGACCACAGCCCTCCTGGAGAGACAGGTGTAAGCTGTGCATGGGAACAGGAGGACTCTCCCGCTTGTTCCATTGACCTGCTTACCTGGGCTAAAGGCCATGGTTCTACTTACTAATAGTAACCTAAATCTCTACTTAGACATTTCCACGCTTTACTGTCTAGTAAGGGAAGTTTCCAACTACTCTCCTGCTCAGCGGTTGTTGTTGTTGTTGTTGTTGGCCATGCTCTCTTGCTTATTCTTTTATTTATTTATTTATTTATTTATTTATTTATTTATTGAGAGGTTTTTGCTATAGGGCACGTGTGCTGGCTAGACAGACAGAGAGAGACAGAGAGACAGAAAGCGAGAAATCATCTCCCCAGGGGGGATGGCCACACCGCAATCCCTTCTCCTCCGTTCTCCTCTTGGGATCTTGGGCATGCACGCACAGGCGCCTGGCATGAGTTTTAAGCCACCGGGTCCAAGACGTGAACCGCGGTCAACTACGTGGGAGTCCAGCGACATAGACATTACGCTAACTGCTGGTCCCTCTTGCTTATTCTAGAAGGTGAACTCTAGCATCATATTGTCAGAGTATAGTCTCTTCCCATTGGGATCTTATTTGGAGTGGCCTCAATTTGGGAAGAATTAGAACCCTTCAACGTGAGTATTCCCATGCAGGACCGAGGCATGGTCTCCTTTCAGCCAGGGTCTTTGACCTGCCTATCTGTCAAGCAGCGCTCAGCCTGGTGTGTTCTCTGCAATGGACAGCAATGCGGTGAGAGAGGGATGACACAATGCCTTTCTTTCTTAGAAAAGCAAAAATTCTTTTTTTTTTTTTTGTAAACTGCCCTTGGAGCCAGCAGGTGGTGTGGTGGTTAAGGTTCTGGACTCCCACATGGCCCACTGCAGTTCAAGTCTGGGACCTGGCAGCTTGCTTTCTCATTTTCCTTCTCTCTCTTTCTCTCTAGTGAAATAAATAATGCTAATGATGATGAATAAGATTAAATAATAAAATAAAATAATTATTTAAAAAAACCCTGCCCTTTATCCTTAGGTTCTCCCTCTACTATCATTACTATTCTTTATGGTTATTAGGACTGTGAGATTGGATGTTTTTGCTTGTTTCTGAATGATAAATCAAATATACTCTAGATATCTATTTATCTATCATCTGACTATTGATATTCTAAAACTGATTGGTGGCCTCTCGAAGTTTGGACTTGAGGTCTCTAGGTTTAATTACCCAGGTGTCTTGCTCTTTTGTATTGGAGTTGCTATTGTGAATGGTGTTTTTTTGTTGTTGTTTTGTTTTATTTTTTTGAGAGGTTTTTACCTTAGGGAGTGTGCTCGCCAGAGAGAGCGAGAGAGAGACAGAGACAGAGTCAGTGAGAGAGAAAGTGAGAAATCAACCCCCAGGGAGATTTGCCATGCCACAATCCCTTCACCTCTATTCTCCTCCTGGAATCTTGGGCATGCATGCATACGTGCTGGTGTGAGTTTTAAGCCATTGGGTCTGGGATTCGAACTGCAGTTGGCCATGTGGGAGTCCAGTGACGTAACTGCTACGCCATCTGCTGGCCCCCCTCCTCTATATTTTAATAAATCATCCAGTTTCTTTCTTTCTTTTTTTTGGGAGAGGTTTTTGCTATAGGGTGCGTGTGTTCGCCAGAAAGACACAGAGACAGACAGTGAGAAATCACCCCCCGGGGGGATGGTCACGCCGCAATCCCTTCTCCTCCATTCTCCTCTCGGGATCTTGGGCACGCACACACATGCGCCCGGCATGAGTTTTAAGTCACTGGGTCTGGGACACGAACTGCGGTCAACTACGTGGGAGTCCAGCGACATAGCCATTACGCTAACTGCTGGTTCCCTCATCCAGTTTCTTGAAAAATTGTAACCAAGAACCTTTGGTGTCAATTCAGCAACCATCTACCCAGTACCTTTGAACAAACTAGCGTCCTACATCTAGAGGCCTGGAGTCCCTGGGAGAGAGGAAGACGGACCTCACCGCGACACTGTAGTCCTCGCTCACCCTCAGTTTCGCTTTCCAAAGTTTCAGCTGCTCGTGGTAGAAGAAAAGGTGAGTACATGACAATAAGATATTTTGAGAAAAAGGAGAAAAGATTAGGCACATAATTTTTGTTATAGTATATTGTTTAAAATGGTTCCGTTTTATTATTAGTTACTGTTAATCTCTTACCGTGCCTAATTTATAAATTAAACTTTTTCATGGGTGTATATGGATGAGAAAAACACGTTGCAGTATATATACACATAGGGTTTAGAACTATCTTGGTTTCAGGCCTCCACGGGGCTCTTGGAATGTACCTTCTGGATGAAGGAGGACTGCCGTAGGAGAAGCTCTTATAGAAGCCCAGAAAAGGGGCTTCTCAGCCAGCCTGTTTGGGAAACAGCAGTCAATACGCATTTAAAAAAAAAAATGACCAGAGTGCATGTGTGCTTGCTAGAGAGAGAAAGAGAGAGCAAGAAAGCACTCCCTGCCCCTCCCCAGGGATGGTCAGGCCGCAGTCCCCTCTCCTTCGTTCTCGCAGGGTTTGGGGCATGTATGCACACATGCCTGGCGAGGTCTTCAAACTGCCAGGTCTGGGATTCAAATCATGCGGTCAGCCATGAGGGATCCAGCTGCCCCAAACACCATGCTACTGACTGGCCCATCACAAAGCATTTCCGAGGATGGGAGAAGGGGGAGAGTGTAAGGAAAGACATTAAGGAGGAAAATAGAGAGGTAAGACATTTATGGGATGCCGAAATGGATTATTATCTGTT